CAGACGAAGCCCCCAGCGCTTTATTTTTTACGTCGCAGCACGGCCGAGGCAGCCCGCAAGCGCGCTCAGGCGGTCTGGGCAACGAAAAACGCGAATTGGCTGGCGGCAGGAGGAGGCGAGGACAGACAGACGACAGTGGCCCCAGGCACCCTGCAAACCCTGCTACATAATCCCACTGGCTGGCACGTCGCAGTCAGGCTGCACTGCGCCCTCGAGTTGACTGCTCGTGTCCCTCTTCTTCCCTTCCCCCACCCTCTCGTCTTCCCCCTCCTCCCCTCCACCTTGGCGCTTATTGCTTGCAGATTTCCAGACAGGGGATCACCAAGTACAACGACTGCTGGTGATTACATACCTTGCCCCCTGCATGGCGCATTTGGCTGTTGATTGATATGTCCTTCATTCGAGATCGACACAGTTCCGTGCCAGTGCGCCGTCTAGGTGCGATTTCGTGGGTGTGGCTGCCAGCGACGGAGCTCAGGGGAGCCTGGCCTGTGTCAGTCGGCTTAGTCACGGCTCGTGCAAAAAGCATCCCAGCGTCGAGACAGTCGGGGTACCCGGCCAGCTGCAGCTCCTTCGCGACCGCTGCAAGCTTTCAGTCCGAGCATAAACCAAAAAATAGCCAGGACAACCTGGCAAACCTTGTGGTGCTTCTTGGCATGTGCTCCCACTGTAGGAGCACTGCTACAGTGGAGGCCAGTCCACAAGAAACCTTCCGCAAGAAACCCAACCCTGAGACCCCAGGACATCCATTGATTTTTGGTGGGAACGTCGCGCTTTCCATGGCAAAACCATCGAAACCCAAGAAACCCAGGGCACCCAAGGGGCAAGCAGGGTGCTTTTTGGCATGGGTCTCCACTGTAGGGGCGCGCAGCCACCCGCCAGTGGGATGCACGCCAAGAAGCCTGTCGTCGTCGGCACTTAAAGGATCATCTTTGCAACGACAGCGCCCGATTCAGAAAAAGCCGAAAGTTCTCCCCTTCACCCTCCGGCCTCAACATTGGCAGGTGTTGCGCTCGAGATGCTGGGCTCACGATGCGGTCGGCCCCACTTCTCCAAGAACGCTCGTTCAACATGAAAGCCAGGGGGTGGATGGGGGGTCATACGAAGTGGTTCCTCAACTTCCTTAACGTTTGTTGCACAGCTGTTTCCTTCAACGGTGTCGACTCTCGCGTTCGAAAGAAAGGCGTGGGGGAACACGAGGAGTACGAGGAGGACAAGGAAGCAGGGTACAGATGACAAAGAAGAGGAGGAGGATGCCGCAGAGGAGGAGGATGAGGTCGAGGATGCCGAGGATGGGGGGAACTTGGGAACGAGGGCAAGGGAGGGCTCGTGCAGAAGGTCGAGATTGAGATGTCGAGGAGGGAAGACAGACAACGGCGACGACACAAGGAGGAGGAGGAGGAGGAGGAGGAGGAGGAGGACAACGACGAGGTCGCGGCGGAGGAGGAGGAGGAGGAGGTCGAGAGGGAAAGGCAGGACGATGCCGACAAGGAGCAGGAGGATGACGAGGAGGCAATGATTTGGAGAAGGAAAAGGAGAAGGAGTGGAAGGGCAGGGGAGAGGAGGGCGAGGGACGAGGGATGATGCCGCAAGGAAGGACGAGGAGGACGTGGGAGGAGCAGGAGGGCGAAGTTGCACAGTCGAGCAGGAGGGGGAATGAGGGGGTGGCCGAAGAGGACGCCGACACCGACGCTCTCCTTCCGGTCCCTGGACACCTCCTGGTGTCCGCCCTGGCCAGCTTTAGGTCGGGCGTGTCCCCCTACAGGCGGATTCTCCGGGGAAAAATAGGAATACAAAAAAAATACCCCTAACATAATCAAAAACAATTAACAACTCGTCCCCTGGCTATTTTCTAAACCATTTTTCAACGTTCCTCCTGTAGAGTGACAAGCCCGACGTAAGGCCAACTTCCCCCCGCGCACCGACTCCTGACGCCCCCTCTGGGCCCGGAGCGGGCCCCCAGACACGGCGCCCGAGGCGCAGCACCGCCCCTCCGAACCTCGCTGGCGCCAGCGCCAACGGAGCCGACGACCCAGGCACCCTACGAGGTTCGGATACATGGAATGACCACCAAGTTGATTTTTGCTCGTCAAGTCTACTGGGAAACAACGTATAATGTTCGTAGTTACGTCTACGAGCGTTGCACGCATCTTTGTCGTCAACTCGACGCGGAAGCCAATCTTGGTGCATATCAATTCTGCAGCCGATCCCCTACTCGAGAGATGAGCGCTTCCATCGGGGCCTCGCAAACATGGATCAGCGATCCATGGATCTGGCGCGCGGCCGCCAAATCCGTGGGTCGGGTGTGGCGCCCTCCTCAAAATGCGGCCGGTGCCGCCTCGATCGGCGGCGGAAATCCACGATTTCCCACGGAAACGGGACCCGTCGCTAATCCCGGACCCCAGACGTCATGATGTTTCCATTACGTCGACCCCTGGAGGTCTCGACCCATTCCCCTGGACCGGCTTGTCATCCCGAGTCGTTTTCTGACGGTCCCGACGCCCCAGCGAGGGCCCCCACAGGCCGAAAATGGGCTTCTTCCATGGCCCGAGGGCTGTCTGGGCTCCACGCCCCCTCGATCCCTGCTTGCGATCGCCTGGTTCCCGTCGGCGGCCTCGCAGCTCCCCACGGCTCCCCCGTGGGGGCCACGGCCCTAGAGGCCTCCTAGATGGGATCGGAGTAGATGGGGTCGGAGGATCGCGCCGCATCGCCGATACACCGGCGATACATCGTCGATGCATCGGCGATGCATCGGCGATGCACCGGCGATGCATCGTCGACGTTGGCGATGCATCGGCGACGTCGCCGTGACGAAAACTGGGCTGGACATCGAGCCGCATCGGCGATGCATCGGCGATGCGGCGCGATGCTCCGACCCCATCTACTCCGACCCCATCTAGAAGGCCTAGAGGCCCGGACCTTCCGCACGGCCTCACCGCCCCGGCGGCCCCGGCGGCACGCGCGTGCCTCGCACGAAGGGGGCAGCACGTGCCGCTCTGCGCTCCCCGCGGGGGCAGGCGGCGCGGAAGCGCCCGGGGCGCGTGGGCGCCTCGGCGCCGCGAGGCGGACGTCGGCGGCCAGCGAGTGGTGATGGGCCTGCTTTCCACCACCACCACCATAAGTTGGAGGGGGGAGGGGTCCTCCTCTTCCTCCTCCTCTTCTTCGTCGTCCTCCTCCTCCTCCTTCCCTCCCCCATCTTCTGGTTGTGGTGGTGGTGTGAAACAACACGCCCCTCAAGGTCTGAGAAGCAGGGGCGCCTCCAAGAAGCCCTCCCCCCTCCACCCGCCCCCCCTTCTGCGCGGGGCCGAGCGAAGTGGGCAGCGGCGGCGAGCGAGGGCGGGGAGGAGGCGAAGTCTCGGGCTCGAGGTTTTCGAGGCTTCTGGACGTGCTCGTCGGTCCTCGGCGGTCTTCCGGCCCTGGGATGCGCTCCAGTGGCCGCGCCTCGCCTGGGGCGCTCTGCCCTGTTCCAGGAGGGCTAAAACATAGCACGCGACTTGAAAGACCTATCCCAGAGCTGTTCCACGTCTTGGTTTTAGGCTGTTTCGTTTTGTTTTGTAGGTTTTTAGGCCTCCCGTGCTAAAACATAGCTCTCTGGAAGGTCAGGGTGGGGGTGCCTGGATCGTCCTGAACGGCCGCCGGAGACCTGAGATGTGACTCAAGAGTCAAAACCAACGGTGAGCGAGGGGGGGGAAGTGAGAAGGAGAAGGCCTCCTCAGCAGGCGGCGGGACTTCTCAGAGGCCCCCGCGCCGTCCGAGATGCTTTCTGCGTCTTCGGGGGAGGCTTTGGAAAGTTATCCGAAGACTTCCGAGTCTTCTAATAAGGCCTTCTCCTTTTCATTTCCCCCCCTCGCTCGCCGCCGAAGATAGCGTGTCGCACCAAGGCGCGGCGGGCTAGAACCCGAGGAGGGAGACTCTATCCAAAAGTTCCCGACCGTAGCTGTGGGATCCCGGATCCACGTCGGACGGTAAAAAGAAGCCAGCACGAGGACCAAGTCCAAAGAGGATGAATCGAGAATCTCTGATATCCGGCAGCTCTGGAGAATGTCTGGGGCGCAGTGGCCTTCTCAGAGCGTTCCAGAACGCTCTGAGAGCGTTCCGGAACGCTCAGGAACGGAGTTACAGTCGGGGCGTTGACCTAAGGAACCCCAAGTAAGGAACGAGGCCCCTTTGCCCAAGCTTCGACCTCACATGGAACACCTTGGGAAACCCCGAGGCAAACTGCAAAACCATCAAGGAACACCGAGCCCCTCCCCAACGGAAAGGGTTCCTTCTTCAGCGCCCCAACTGTATCCTCGTCCCAGCCCCGCCCGAGATGGCCCCGAGCGCCAACGAAGCGGCCCCCGCCCAGGAAGGCGCGCGGGGGCTGGAGAATGCACAAGTGGAGTCCGCCCGAAGCCTCTCGAAGGGGAGAAGGACGAGTGGAGACGCGGGCAGCTCAAGAGATCGATCCCCAAGTCCCTCCCAGGGGCCAAACGCAGCAGTTCTCCGAGCTGCGTCCAGCCGATCAACGTTGTCTTTTTGTTCCGGCGTTTCGACATTGGGCGGAGGGAAGGGAGGGGGGGGGCCTGGCTCCGGACCTCTGCTCTCTGCGACGGCTTGCAAGCAGTGCGTCCCGTGGGGGAGACCCCACCTGCTCGAACCACAGGCACCAAAAACAGCCCAGATCTACTCCAGGTTGGGGGAGGGGGGGGGTGCGAGGGCCCGGGCCGATCGGCGGAACCATGGAAGAGTCCAACTGCTAGGGGGCCGCATGCGAACCCTACCCCTACCCCCCACGATTTCTAAGGGGGAGGGTGGGGTTCACTTCGTTCGGGAGCTCCCAGGCGAAGCGAACCCCACCCTCCCCCTCAGAAATCGTGGGGGGTAGGGGTAGGGTTCGCATGCGGCCCCCTAACTGTGGCTGCTTGAGCCCGGCCCTGCTCGGACAGTCTGGGGCCGACGCCGACGGCGCCGCCGCGGCGGCGGGGGCGAGGGTCGAGGCCCTCTGGCGCACGGGGCGCCTCGGCCTCCGCGCGCAGCGAGGCGAGCTCCCGGAGGAGGCGGGCGTGTTCCGCGCCGAGCTCCGCCAGCAGCGCGCCGAGACGCTCGCCCATGGCGCCCGCGAGGGGAGGGGCAGGGAGGGCTGAGCAGCGGCGGCCTGAGCATCATCGCTTGGGGACGCGGCGCCCTCTCTGCCCTGGCTCGCAGCACCGCCAAGGCAGGTGGCTGCATCGCTGTCCCGCCAAGGCTGGGATCTCCTCCTCCTCCTCCTCCTCCTCCTCCTCGTCCTCCACCTCCTCCTCCTCCTCCCCCTTGCCAAGATCAGGCAAGGAGGGGACAGCAACAGAGCGATCTGAGCTGTCCGACTCCTGGGCAGCGCCACGCGCCTTAGAGCAGGTAGCTCCCCGCGGCCTGAGCTTCAGCGAGCGGGAGGGGCAGAGAGGGAATGGGGAGGGGAGAAGAGGTTAGGGTTAAGTCGGGCGTGTCCTCCGACGGGCGGATCTTGGACGATAAATTAACAGCAGCCAAAAAAATCAAACAATAAAAAAACAGCAGCATTCCCATACCATTTTTCGACTATTTCCGCACATTCCTCCTGTAGAGACACACGCACTAGTTACGGTTAGGGATGTCACACTTATCACAAGAAACCCATACCCCCCATGTCGGGCACAGTGGGCGCTGGACACCGATCACTAGCAAGTCAGACGCGGAGAGAGGGGCGGACGGGGAAGGGTGAGGAAAAGGAGCAGAAGGCAGGAGGGGGAATAGAGGAGGGGGTGGGGAGGAGGAGCACGAGGAGGAGGGAAGAGGCAGGAGGAACAGCATCGAGGAGGGATGGGCAGCGAGAGGAGCAAACGGTCCAAGACCTCCGACGACTCGACTGCTTCGCAGCCCAGGCCCCCCGAACGTCTCGAGGCTTTGCACCCCTGCCTAGAGAAAAAACATGTTACGCTATGGGTAGGGACCTCCCTCAAAGCGTTTTCTCTTGGACGGTAGCCCAGGTTCAGACCAACATTTTTGGCCATCAACGATGCAATCAACTATAAGCGGGCGTGGCCAGCATGAACACCACGAAGACCTTGAGAAAAGCCAGAAGACCTCGAGCAAAAATACTGTACCGCAAGAAGACGCCCAGGGTCAAGTCTAGACTTCTGCTTCTCTCGAACAAAATCGGAGCCCGCGAGGATTGACCGCTGTTCTCAAGATAGGTGTAGCCCACCCAAACAGAAGCGGCCTCCTGACGCTGAGAACGACGAGACAGCTCCAGCGCGAGCTGCTCGAGACGCCCACAGAGGGCCTGGCTCCGTGGGTCCAGCCTCTGTATAAGAAGAATCAAACATGCATAGCCATAAACCTTTGGCGCTCCACGCGGGTTTCTTGGATCTGCGTTGGACCCCCCTCCCAAGCGCGCGGAGCGCGCCAGGGGCGCCAGGAGGAGGTGGAGGAGAGAGAAGACAAATAAAGCAAGAGTAAAAATAAGAACATTAAGAATACTGATAAGAAGAAGACGAAGAAGAAGAAGAACACGAATAAACAACGAATACAACCACTAATAATACTAATGATCATAAGACGAAGAATGCGAAATATAGGAGGAGGGGAGGAGGAAAAAGAGGAGGACTGCGGAGGAGGAGGAGGTGGAGGAGGAGGAGGAGGAGAAGGAGAGGACGGAGGAGGAGGAGGAGGAGGGGAGGAGGGGGGAAGGGGGAGGAGGAAGGAGGGGGAGGAGGGAGGGGGGGAGGGAGGGAGGAGGGAGGGAGGGAGGGAGGGAGGGAGGGAGGGAGGAGGAGGGAGGAGGAAGAGGAGGAGGAGGAGAGGAAGGAGGAGGAGGAGGGAGGGAGAGAGGAGGGGGGAGGAGGAGGAGGAGGAGGAGGATGAGGAGGAGAGGAGGAGGAGGAGGAGAGGAGGAGGGGAGGTGGAGGATAGGAGAGAGGAGGGGAGGAGGAGGAGGACGAAGGAAAGAGGAGAACGGAGGACGGAGGACGGAGGACTAAAGAGGGGGAGGAGGCGGAGGAGGAGGGTAGGAGGAGGAGGAGGGAGGTATGAGAGGAGGCGAGAGGAGTAGAGGAGGAGGAGAAGGATTATTACTGTATGAGGAGGATGAGGAGTTCTTCTTGGGGGCGATTGAGAGTAGGTATGGGGAGTAGGAGGAGGAGGATGAGGAGGAGAGGGAGGAGCCCATACGAGGTGGACCCCGACAATGGGCGACGACGGCGCCTCTTGGACGCCCCCCCACAAGGGACTGCCACCCTTGTCAGTCCCGATCGTCGAAGGGAGGGCCCCCCCACGGCGCAAGCAGCCCCGAACAGGGGAGCGATACGCGTCATCCCGGTCTCCTCCCTCCTCCTCCCTCCCCCCTCCCTCCTCCTCCTCCTCCTTACTCCCCCTCCCTCCCTCCCCCCTCCCTCCTCCTCACCCCCACTCCCTCCTCCTCCCTCCCCCTCTCCCACCCCCCCCTCCCTTCCCCTCTTCCTCATCCCTCCTCCCTCCGCCTTCTCCTCCGCCTTCTCCTCCTCCTCCTCCTCCTCCTCCTCCTCCTCCTCCTCCTCCTCCTCCTCCTCTCGTCCTCCCTCCCTCCCCCTCTCCTCCCCCCCTCCCCCATGTCTGCTGCTTTCTCTCGCCCCTCCCTCCTCCTCCAACCCAGAACCCCTTCGAGTTAGGCAAGCAACATTACACGCAGCCCTAAAGGGGAACGACACACGCCAGACGCTCTCCTCGTTCTCTTCCTCGTCGCTGTGTTTTCCAACGTTGCGCGGCCTTGCTCCTCGTCGTTGTCCTCCTCCTCCTCCTCCTCCTCCTCCTACCTACTTCCTTGTAGTGTTTTTTTGGTCGTTGCGCGGACATCCTCCTCCTCCTCCTCCTCCTCTCCTCTCCTCCTCCTCCTCCGTCTTCCTCCTGCTTCCTTGCGTGTTGTTTTGGCGTTGCGCGGACTTACTCCTCGTCGTTGTCCTCTTCATCCTCCTCCTCCTCCTCCTCCTCCTCCTCCTCCTCCTCCTCCGTCTTCCTCCTCTCCCTCCTCCTCCTCCTCCTGCTGCTGCTCCTCCTCCTCCTCCTCCTCCTCCCTCGTCCTCCTCCTCCTCCTTCTCGGAGGAGGAGGAGGAGGAGGAGGGGAAGGAGGGAGAGCCCCCGCGGCGCACGCAGCCCCCGAACGGGGAACGATACACGTCGGACGGAAGAAGTAGGTAAGGAGGCGACTCGACGCCGTCGTCGTCGTCGTCGTCGTCGTCGTCGTCGTCGTCGTCGACGTCGTCCTTGTCGTCGTCGACGTCGTCCTTGTCGTCGTCGTCGTCCTTGTCGTCGTCGTCGTCGTCGTCGTCGTCGTCGTCATCATCATCGTCGTCGTCAGTGCCGTCGTCATTGTCGTCGTCGTCGTCGTCGCCGTCGCGCTCGATGCCCCTTTGCCTACGCCCGTCGCCGCTCCCCCATGTTTCACTGGGCCCTCCTCCGCCTCCTCCTCCGCGCCAACCAAAGTGAAGCCAAAGCGAAATTGAGCAACGTCGACGCCGGAAGGATGAAAGAGACTTAAGCCTTACTCGGGGGGCTGTCCCGCCGGATTAAGCCGCGGACTGAGCGGGATTAAGCCGGCTCAACGGGATTAAGCCAGATTAAGCGGGATTCGGACCAAGGCTAAGTCAGAATTTGACCTCCCAGGAGATGCATCCGAAAGTGGGTAAAAGCACGAAGGAGGAGGAGGGCGGAGGAAGCAGATTGGGCGCAGGCATTCCCAGAGAACAACAGAACACAGCGAAGGCATATCGATCCTTGAAGTGGGAGGGCGCTTGAGGTAGCTTGGGACCTGGGAAGCCAGGAATACCTTTAAGTCGGGTGTGTCCCCCTACAGGGGGGTTGTCGACGAAAAATAAGAAATACTCAACAAATATTCCAAAATTGTCCCCCCAAAAAGCTCTAAAAGTAGTCCCCAGACTATTGTTTGCCTATTCTTGAATATTCACCCTGTAGGGTGACATGCCCGACTTAAGACAAGCCTCCGATAGCGAAACCGCCCGTTCCTGGTGGGCTGTCAGGTCCCACTGCTGGCGGTGCATGGGCTTAGCTGCCCCGATGCGCAACACGCAATACGTATCGTATCGATACGGAACTCAACACGTAGGCTGAAAACGTAGGTCCGACGCGACACACTCGCCGAAACGCGGTCCGATACGTGGAACCAACACGCAACGTATTGACACGGACGTTTTGAACACGGGACGTCTTGCGTTTCAAAACGGGCGTACCGAGGCAACTAAGTGCATGGGCGGTTGGGCGTCGATGCGTCCCCCCTGGGCCTCCCCGACCGCAACCAGAAGACGAGCAAAACCATAAAACCTCGAGGCTCGATCCTCCGAGGGAGGACCCCCGCGGCGGCTTCCGTGAGCCCTGGGAACGACAAGGCAATATTTTCGTTTCCGGTTCCCGTTTGCCGTTCTTGTGCCGATTCCGTCAACGCGTTCTTGCCAGCACCACCGCCGTTTTTACGCCAGCTCCGTTTCCGGCTCCACTCCCGGAGCCGTGCTTTAGCCGTGTCCAATCGCCTTTGTCTCACCTTTCCGTTTTCAAGAGGCACTTTTTCGAGCACGGTGAAAACATGGCCCTGCCGCTTCTGGGGCCCACGAAGCGCGGCGGCCCCCCGTCCTCGTCCAGGATCAGGTGCGTCATCGTGTCGGGCCCGAACATCGCGTCCAGCCCGTCGGCGACGAGGCGGCGCAGCAGAACGCCGAGGGTGCAGAACAGCAGCTGGCAGCCGCGCGGGGAGGGGGCGCCCGCCTCCGGCCTCGACCAGGGCCGCGACGACGATCGAGGCTCGAGGATCAAGGGTTTTCATAGCTGTTTGCCCTCCGACCCAGCCATGATCGCGTGGTAAAAATAAACCAGGACGGGAGGTTCATTAAGCCAGCTTCGGACTCGGGGGGCCCTCGCTGGGCCTCGGGACCGTCGAAACACGACGCAGCAGGAAAAACTGGTCCCGCGAGTATTGAAAAATCAGGGCGTCGCATGTCTGGGGGGGGGGCCTCTTCGCCACGGCTGGATCCAGACCTCCCTGCGCTGCCAGAACAAAGACCACGACATAGGGATTTCGTTAGGCCACTCTCAGCCTCTGGAGCCCTCGCCGGGCCCCGGGACCATAGGAAAAATGCGACTCAGGATGAAGAGCCTGTCCCAGGGAAGGGGTCCAGATTTCCATGGGGTCCGCGTTGTGAGCAAATCACGACGTCGGAGTTTGGGGGGCCTAAGCGACGACCTAAGATCGAGGCTCGAGGATTCTGATGTGAGTAACTTTTCACGCTAGGGGTGAGTGACGCACTCCTGGAAGGGTCTGGGGGCGATCTCTCAGCGTCCTGCCTCGGAGAACCGCTTCTGCTTAGCCGCTCGTACTTAGTCGATGCATGTGCCACTGTGCCCTAGTCAACCTCCAAGGGTCTTTAGTTTTGCTTCCCCCCCGTTTCTCTCGTCGGGGAATAAAACTGGTCCCTCCTCCTCCTCCTCCTCCTCCTCCTCCTGCTCCAACTCCTCCTCCTCCTCCTCCTCCTCCTCCTCCTCCTGCTCCTACTCCAACTCCTCCTCCTCCTCCTTCTCCTCCTCCTCGGCTCCTACTCCTACTCCTCCTACTCCTACTCCTACTCCTCCTGCTCCGGCGGCTCTGGAGGATGACTCGGGCGCCGCGGCCTTCTCAGAGCGTCCCGGAACGCTCTGGAGCGGATTTATCCTCGTGCTGGCCCCGCCTGGCACTGGCCCTGACGCGATCCCACCGCGTCCGCTGCAGAACTGGCCTGTTGCGGAGGCTCTGCATCCGAAACATTGGCATCTCATGGGGGGGGCAAGACTTGTGTCCCTGTCTCCTGCAGCTTGGAGTCTCGGGCTCCCTTCCCCCGAACCCTGAGGCGCACTGGATATGGACGGGAATATGGCCCCTTATGGAGGCTCGATGTTTGTCCATGTCCAGTGCGCCTCGGCCTTGCGGTGCGAGGAGGAGGGGATGCAGGAACGGGGGGGCGCGCCCCGAGGCCCTGGCGGCTCCAACTTCTTTCTGTTTGTTCGAGCCGGGCGTCTTCGTCCAGCCTCGGGCCACGGGGCCCTCGCAGCAGAGGGCTACGCGTAAGTCGGGCGTGTCCCCCTACAGGGGGATTTGGGACGAAAAACATAAAATACTCAAAAATATTCCCAAATGGTAAAAAATACTAAGAAATAGTCCCTTCACAATTTTTTGACTATTTTTGAATATTCCCCCTGTAGAGGGAGGACAGGCCCGACTGAAGGCTAGGCATCCCCCCCCTAATTATAAGAAGCACCCGAGCGAGCGCAGCCGTGCAGCGAGCGCACCCAGGGAAGGCATCGAGCAGGGCAGCAGGGCTGTCGAGTAAACGCCCAGGGCCGTTGAGGAAACGTGGATTGTCGGGGTCTGCTCTGCAGCACACGCGCACCGACAGGGAGAAGGGGGGAGGGAGGGGGGGAGGGAGGCGGGCGGGGGAGGGGAAGGAGGGGGGAGAGAGGGGAGGGAGGATGGAGGGAACAGGGAGACTGCGCGAAGAAGAGGCCGGAGGCACGAGGCACAGGAGGAGGCAGGGAAGACGCGGAGGAAGAGACCCAGGAAAAGAAAGAGAAATAGGATGATACGGACGACGAAGACGAGGAGCCGCAAGGGGGGGAAGGAATTTTGAGCAGGGACCGACCGTCCCGGCATTCCTATAGGCCTACCACGACATGTTCTTAAAATCCAACAATGTTCTCAGAAGAAACACCATGTTCTTAGAACATAAACCCATGTGTTAAAACAGGGCAGTCCCCGCCAGAAGTGTTCTAAGAACCTTTCGTGGAAGCCACAGGAGGTTCTTAGAGAATTCTTTGGTAGGCCTATAAGCACGCCAAGGCGCCTCGCCACTGCCTGAAATATGGCGAGGGGGGGACGGGAAAGACCTTCCGCGGGGCCCCCCGCAGACCTCGTGCGGGGGGCCTCGCCCCACGCGTGCTGCCCAGCTGGGGGGCCCGCGCAGAGGCGGGCCCCAAGCAGCGAGCAGCCTGGCGAGACCTTGGCTCCGAGCGTCGGGGCCAGCGGAGACCGACGTGAAAGGAGGAGGAGGAGGAGGAGGAGGAGAAGGAGGAGAGGAGATAGGAGGGGAGGAGGGGGAGGAGTAGGACGGGGGAGGAGGAGGAGGAGGAGTGCGGAGGGGGGAGGAGGGGGATGAGGAGGAGGAGAAGGGTAGGAGGAGAGGAGGAGGAGGAGGAGGATAGGAGAGGATGAGAGGAGGAGGAGGAGAGGATGAAGGAGGGAGGAGGGGAGGAGGATAGGAGGAAGAGGAGGAGGATCAGGAGGAGGAGGAGGAGAAGGAGGAGGAGGGGAGTGCCCACCATCGTCACGAGCATCCGATCGGAGAGAATCCAAGCCCACCTCGAGAGGACGCGCGGCTGAGCGCGCCTGCCCCTCGTTGGCCCTCCGCCTCCTCTCGTTCGCCCGCCCATCCGCCCTCGCCCCCCGGCCTGCCGCTCCTTCCCGAGCTGCACAGCGTCTTCGGCCTCCCCCTCCTCCTCCTGTCCTCGTCCGCCTCCTCATCCCCGCCCGCCTCCGAACCCCACTCCACGTGCTCGTCGTCCCCCTCCTCCGACGTACAGCATCCAGCCCGCCTTCCGCTCCTTCGCCTGCCCCTGCGGCGCACCCCTCCACTCCCGCCTCCTCCAGGTCATGCTCCTGCTCCTCCGCCTGCATCCCCGGTTCCCCCTCCTCCTCGTCTTCTAAGCCTCATCCTCCTCCTCCTCCTCCTCCTCCTCCTCCTCCTCCTCCTCTGCCTGCGACTGCATGTCCGCCTTCTCGTTTTACTCCTTATCCTGGCCCGCCTTCGCTTTGTGTGCAGCCTCCGCCGCCACCTTCTTTCCGATCGTCCTCATCCTGATTATTGTATGATCCTGTCTGCTCCCTCCGCCTGGTCAATACCATGCTCGTCTTCCAGTCACCGAGACGTATTCACAACGATTCGGCACCTGGGCTCGTATGATGTGTTTGCTCAGTGCTCATGGGAAACACATGCGTCAGGAACGACGCACAAACCATCCGTTTGCGATGGCTGATCTAGCTTGCAGCCCCGCGGGCAGCACTGATACTGAGAAACAACTCCTCGGCGGGTTTGCCCGTCACTTGTTCCAAATAGTGCAGTTTGACTGTGCATCTTGACTGCCCGCTGTGAGAATAACTGTGGTACGTGTTCCCGAACATGCAGCCGCAGCCTGTCGCGTCCCTGCATACTTTCCTGGCCCTTGGCAACTCTGCGGCGGTGACGTCCTGCACGACCGTGTGCCCCGTTCTTGAGGAGACACAGCACTTGAACTCCCTGTCGCCGGTCCGATACGTGGCTTGCTGGTCGTTGGTGAAAGCGTTTCGGAAGAGCTCCCCCGCCTCTACGTCTTGGTCCAAGTCGAGGGCTGTAGTCGTAGTCGTGTTCGTTTCCTCGGTGGTGGTGGTAGTGGTGAGGTCGTCCAGTGGGTACTGCGAGAGGAGGCCTGCGATATCATATTCATCCGCGATCCCTGTCTCATTCAATCGAACTAGAAGCGCGGATTTCTGCTGCCGGGTCATCTCTTCAAAAGAGAGCGGCTGACAGTTGTACACATTCGGGCTGCCATCATACCTCACATCGTTTTCGGATCGACCCAAGCCAACTCGCTGGGCGAGGTAGTCCTCCGTCTTGCAGACGTCAAGGACGCACTGGCCCCGGGAGTGCTTCATGCGCAACCCCGGGGGCGGCAGGAACCAAACAGGAGATCGCCCCTCCTTGGCCTTTGCTGGCAGACGGCATGCCTTTGGGGTGCCCTCCACACGCGTATTTTCAGGAGCCTGGGGCCAACAACCCAGTGTATCTGCACACTGGAACTTTGCCCAATTGAGCAGCGCAGTGATGCTGAGCTTGAGCGTGCCCGCGATCAGAAACATCGGCGCATCCATGGTTGCTGCGAGTGCGGCAGATGCGGTCAGACCCTGAATGCCCATCTTCACCACCACTGTAGATATGAGGAAGCCGGACGCGTACTGCTTGGTGACCCGCTGGCCCCCCTCTGGGGCCTCCATGGGATGCGTCGTCACACAATGAGCGTAAGCTAGATACCTGCTGCTTGCCAGGGGGGCACCGATGCTCGTTACAAGTCGCGCGAGGCGGTGAGTCTTGCACAGCAGCATCCTGGGGAACGGATGTCCTGAGACCACAGCGCGCGGCGAACATGGCTAGACTTGGGCCTCAACGGGGGCGAACATAACTATCCACACCCACCGCCTCCCGAGGCCCAGAACATTGGTTTCCCGGGCGGTGGACAGGGATAGGCCCCTGCCTCGGAACTCGCCTCCGCACGGCAGCGCCCCGCCCCATGCCCAGCGACCCTCTGAGCGCTGTAGCTCCGCGCGCTATGTGCGGCGGCGGCTAGACTTAGGTCGGGCCTGTCCCCCTACAGAGGAATTTTGGGCGGAAAATTAACACGACTAAACCAACACTCTCCAAATGCGCAAAAATAATCACAAAATAGTCCCCAGACTATTTCCCCATATTCCTAAGGATTGGGGTTCTTGTTCCCCATATCCTAAGGATTGGGGTTCTTGTTATTACTCTGACGCCTCCCACTCCTCCTCCTCCTTCTTCCTCCCGCTCGCGCCTCCCTCCTCCCAATGATAACCACCAGATAAGACAAGACAAGATAAGATACTACAAGATAAGATAAGATAGCACAAGATATGATAAGAAGAGATTTCAAGATAAGATAAGATAAGTTAAGCTCACACTCACACTCTCCCATGATCACCAAACGCTGCCAGGGGCATCACTTGGGAGCCCCAAGGGGGAGCCACCCTGGCTGATCTCACGAGCCCGTTCGCGCCGATTTTGGTGGGACGTCTCAGCTAGAATTGCCGTTTGGCGCCCCAAACATGTATCTCTTGAGAGCCTCATGGTCACAAAACGCTGCCAGGGGCATCATTTGGGAGCCCCAATGGGGAGCCACCCTGGCTGATCTCACGAGCCCGTTCGCGCCGATTTTGGTGGGACGTCTCAGCTAGAATTGCCGTTTGGCGCCCCCAACATGTATCTCTTGAGAGCCTCCTGGTCGCAAAACGCTGCCAGGGGCATCATTTGGGAGCCCCAAGGGGGAGCCACCCTGGCTGATCTCACGAGCCCGTTCGCGCCGATTTTGGTGGGACGTCTCAGCTAGAATTGCCGTTTGGCGCCCCCAACATGTATCTCTTGAGAGCCTCATGGTCACAAAACGCTGCCAGGGGCATCATTTGGGAGCCCCAAGGGGGAGCCACCCTGGCTGTTTTCACGAGCCCGTTCGCGCCGATTTTGGTGGGACGTCTCAGCTAGAATTGCCGTTTGGCGCCCCCAACATGTATCTCTTGAGAGCCTCATGGTCGCAAAACGCTGCCAGGGGGCATCATTTGGGAGCCCCAAGGGGGAGCCACCCTGGCTGATCTCACGAGCCCGTTCGCGCCGATTTTGGTGGGACGCCTCAGCTAGAATTGCCGTTTGGCCTCCCCAACATGTATCTCTTGAGAGCCTCATGGTCACAAGACGCTGCCAGGGGCATCATTTGGGAGCCCCAAGGGGGAGCCACCCTGGCTGATCTCACGAGCCCGTTCGCGCCGATTTTGGTGGGACGCCTCAGCTAGAATTGCCGTTTGGCCTCCCCAACATGTATCTCTTGAGAGCCTCATGGTCACAAAACGCTGCCAGGGGCATCATTTGGGGGCCCCAAGGGGGAGCCACCCTGGCTGATCTCACGAGCCCGTGGCGAGAGAGAGAGAGAGAGAGAGAGAGAGAGAGAGAGAGAGAGAGAGAGAGAGAGAGGGGGAGAGATAGAGAGAGAGAGAGA